TGTTTTTTTTTTTTTTTTTTTTTTGAGTCAGTCTTGCTACACAACTCAGGCTGACCTTGAACTCACTATGTAGCCCACACTGGCCTTGAACTCACAATGGTCCTCCTGCCTCAGCCTCCTAAGAACTGGGATAACAGTTGTGTGCCACCATACCTGGCTACCCAGGTGAATTTTGAATTTGGAATTTGGAATCTTCCTGCCTCAGTATCCCTTAGTCCTGCCTAGCACATATCTTTCTTTTTTTTATTCTTTCTTTCTTTTCTTTTTTTTTTGGTGATACTAGGTATCAAAGCCAGGTCCTCACACATGCTAGGCAAGTGCTTTATTGCTGAACCACATCCTTAGACCCATATCTTTCTATTTTATTATATTACTTTCATATCTTTGTTTTTAGATTTGGAATTTTTTTGAAGATACACAAACCATATAATATAGATTGTAAAACATGTATTGTGGAGAAACACTTCACTAGTTGAAACCAAGCTTTGAGGTTGTGTTTTCATGCCTCACTAGAGAATCGTATAGAATGTACCACATTCTAGTGTAGGGGTTGGCAGACTTTCTCTGTAGAGAGTCAGACACCAAGTGTTTTAGACTTTGCAGGCATGTGGACTGTGTTGGAGCTCCTGAGCTTTGCTGTAGACTGTAGACAAATGGGTACAGCTGTGTTCCAATAAAACTGTAGTCATGCAAACGAGTAACTATGGGTATAGTTTGCCAGCCTCTATTCTAGTGTATGTGCTTAGGTTTCCTATTATACCATTTAAGAATGGATTTTATTTTGACAATTACTTATAATTCATGTTTGTCTAATAAAATAAATAGACATTATCAAGTCTAAAGTATGAAAAAATAGATTTAATTTAGAGATCTTCCTGTAGTTTTTGTGAATCAAAGGGAAGGGTTTCAGGGGAAGATTTTAAAGTTTCATATTGGCAGATTGCTTCGTGTGGAGAAGCAATTAGTGCTTTGGGGAGATTTTATTTATTTAATTTATTTATTGATGCCAGAGCTTGAACCCAGGGCATGTCACATGCTGAATGCATCCTCTACCACTGAGCTATACCCCTGTCCCCTGCCCTGAAAAGATCACAACATTATGGAGCCTCCATAGGCACAAAACTGCTGGATATGATATGATGGCAGCCTTTGGGAACAGACTTCCTCCACATCTTGGTCTAGTTTATTGTTACTGGCTTAGATGGACAAATTGTTCTAATGTGGTAAAGAATAGTAAAACTTGCTTGCTTTGGAGGGGTCATGAATTTCTTTGACCAGTTTGTGATTACTAAAGGGATTTTAGTAATTTTTCTGTTTAATTAAGAAAGTCCAGGCTGGGTGTGGTGGCACACACCTGTAATCCTAGCACTCTGGGAGGCTGAGGGAGGAGGATCATTGTGAGTTTGAGAGCAGCCTGGGCTACATAGTGAGTTCCAGGTCAGTCTCAACTACATAGTGAAACCCTGTCTCAAAAAAAAAAAAAAAAAACCCCAAAACCACAAAAAAACAAAAGAAAATCCACCTGAGTGTGGTGGTGCACACCTGGGATCCCAGAGCTGACATTAGGGCAGGAAGATCACAAGTTGGAGTTTCATCTGTCCAATTTTAGCAAGGCTGTATCTCAAAAACTCTTTTTTAAAAAATGACTGGGGTAGGGCTGGGGGTTTGGCTCAGTGGTTCTACCGCCTACCTCGCAAGTGCAAGGGCCCAAGTTGAATCCCTGGTAAAAAAAAAACAAAAACAAAAAACAAAAAAGTGGGGAATATAGTTCTGTGGTACAGTGCACACCCATGGGTTTGATCCCTACTACTGCACCCTTCTCCCCACCAAAAAAATTCAAAATAGTTGGCTACGTTGCATGTACACATAGTGGTTTTTTTTGTTTTTTTTTTTAATAGGAGAGATGCCTCAGGTTGATCATCTGGTGTTCATGGTACATGGCATTGGGCCTGTGTGTGACTTGCGCTTTAGAGGCATTACTGAATGTGGTAAGTGTTAGTCTTTTTTTTTTTTTCTCTCTCAGTACTAGAGATTGAACCCAGGGCCTTCATATAGAGCTATATCCCCAGGTAGAGTAAGTATGTTTATTTTTATTTAGAGATAGGATCTCACTAAGCACTAAGTTGCCCAGATGGGACTCAAACTTTTGATCTTTCTGCTTCATTGTCCAGGAGTGCTAGGATTACTGGTGTGCACCACTGCATCTAGCTCTGTTAGCCATATTTTATTTCATCGAATGATGTGAGAATTAATAGTTCTTAAGTATTCATTTTTAGGACAGTTCTCAACTGTATACAACTTGTGGGCTATAAGAAGACATGTGATTAGTTAGAAATACTAATTTGTGTTTAATTTGTTGTGACATTAATAACTCATCAAATCTTATACTCTGAAGAATTAGAAGGGATCTTGAAAATAATTTAACCTTTCATATAAATAGCCTGTGCTTCCAGGAACCTGGAGTGCCACAGCAATGAATTAATTGATTTATAGTGAGAGAATTTTGCCAAATTTTTTAGTAGATTCATGAATCTGCCTGGTTGACTTCTGTTTTCAAAGTTTTATTTTTATATCTGTATAGTAATAGTTTGTATTTATTAAATACTTGGTATATACCAAGGACCTTGGATATATTGTATCATTTAGCCCTCATAAATACGCCTTTGGAGGGCCAGACATGGTAATCCATGCCTGTAATCCCAGTGCTTGGGACCCTGTTTCAATAAATAAAAACAACCCCCCCATGTGTGTGTATGTGTGTGTGTGCATTACACACATATTTTTGGTATGTAGGTGCTGTCCCTGTTACTCCATATTTAGGTGAAGAGCTGAGACCTGGAGTGAACCCCTTCACATTCAGTAGGTACTAAAGCCAGATTATTATAGCAGATAGTTTGATTCTGGTTTTCTGGTCTTACCCAGTCAGTATGCCATGCCTCTCTCAGTGATGGTAGTTGAACTCATTTTTCCTGGTGTTTATACATTTCCTCTAAAATAATGAAAAGTTAAAAAAGAGCTTCTTAAAGGTTTATTATTTATTTTTGCTATTTTTAGAAACTGTATATATTATAAAAATATTAGCATATTTAACATAATTGCTAACTAGCTGTCAAACTGAGAAAGTTTAACCAATTTAATTTATCTTGCTTGATTTTTTTTTTTAAAGTGGATGATTTTAGGGTGGTTTCTCTCAAATTGCTGCAGACACACTTCAAGAAATCTTTAGATGATGGGAAAATAAGCAGAGTGGAGTTCCTTCCTGTTCACTGGCATAGTGCCTTGGGTGGGGATGCCACCGGTGTTGACAGGTTTGTAGATTTTGATGATTTGTGTTTTAGATTAGTCAATTTTTTTTGGTACTGGGGATCGAACCCAGGACCTTGCGCTTGCGAGGCAGGTGGCAGCACTACTGAGCTAAATCCCTGGCCCTAGATTAGTCAAATTTAAATTTAAAATGTAAACTATATTATGAAGTAGTTTATTATGACTTTAGCAAAAGTTTAAAAAAATTTATATACTTGCTGTGACATAATTAAATATGGGTTATACCTTTTATACACTGAATCCCCGGTACAAAAAAAAACAAAAAACAAAAAAAATGACTGGGGAATGTAGGTCTGTGGTACAGTGCATACCTATAGGTTTGATCCCTACTACTGCACCCTTCTCCCCACCAAAAAAGTTGTGTATGTATTGTGTCTTTTATTTTGTGTATTTTATTGTGCCTTTGTATGTGTATTTATTCCTATTGTAAATATTTAAAATAGTTTAAGAAATTTTAACTGGCTTTATTAATTAATTAAATTTGGTGCTTGAGGTTGAACCTAGGTCTTTTGGAATGCTAAACACAGTTGTACCACTGGGCTACATCCTCAGCCCCTAAGCTTGCTTTAAAATACTGCTCTAATCTATGGCATACACTTTGCCCCACCAGTTTTACTACAGGGCTGTCCTGCAAATTTAAGGATGCTTAGCAGCATCCTGGTTAGATAACAGCAACATGCTCATCTCTAGCCATTGACAATCAAAAGTGTTTCTAGAAATTTCCAGATGTTCCTTGTAGATTAAAATCACCCCTGGTTGAGAAACATTGATTTGGATTTTCTATTTTTAAGTGGAAAACACATGTGACAGCACAATTCTTTACTGCACAAAACTGTTATGTTGCAACCATTTATCAATCTTAGTTTAAATGCCATTAAATGGTAGCAGTGCTCACCAGGGACTGACAACTAAAATACCTTACTCAGTTTTGAATACTCCCACTTGAGAACTACAAATACAGATAATATTTGTGCTGGCATACAGGCTAATAGCATGTCTGGATTTTAGTGAACATCATAATGTTTCAGGTACGTAGTTTAATAAAACTAATCCTATAAACAGCATTCTATTTAATTTCGGCTCTGTTATGAGGATATTTCCCTTCTTAGGTGTTTATGAACTTTACTTTGATCGTTTTCAAGTCAAGAAAAGTTTTTATTCAGTGTAATTTCTTTCTTACTCTGTATGACAGTCTCTTCTGTCCGTTCCATCCATAATTTTTGTCAGGTATCCAGATTTCTGTTTAATTGGAAGGAAAATGGAAGAGTAGACTTTTTTCTTTAAAACGAAATTAAAATCTTTGCCTATGAATGACATTTTACACATCACCTCTTTAGAGGATCCCAAAATTCATAATACAATTATAGGTAGAAATAGCTTTTTTACTTGTCTTGGTTTATTTTATAATAGCTCTGACTATAGAATCAACATATAATTAATTACTCGGTGATATTTGTATGTTGATCAGCTAATTATTTAGATATATGTACTTAATTTATGTGTACTTTATATGTACTTAGTTTATTTACTCTAAATGTTTTCAGAAATAAAAATACTTTCATAAAAATCTACAGATTGAAGGTGGATACTGACTCAAGATCTTTTTTTTTTCTTTTTAACAGGAATATTAAGAAAATCACTTTGCCAAGTATTGGTCGGTTTCGTCACTTTACCAATGAAACTTTGCTAGATATTTTATTTTATAACAGCCCCACTTACTGTCAGGCAGTTGTGGAGAAAGTGGGACTAGAGATGAACCGTCTACATGCACTCTTTTTGAGCCGGAACCCGGACTTCAAGGGAAGGGTCTCTGTTGCTGGTCACAGTTTAGGTAAAACTCAAATACACACATTAGGTTTTGTTTTGTTTTTCATTTTTTGAGACAGGGTCTCACTATGGAGTTGAGACTGATTGGGAACTCACTATGTAGCCCAGGCTGGTCTCGAACCTACTCCTGCCTCAGCCTCCTGAGTGCTGGGATTACAGGCATGCGCCACCATGCCTGGCCACACACATTAGGTTTTGGTTTTTGATTTTACTTTTCTTTGGTTTCTTGTTTTTTATTTCCCCCCTTTGGTTTCTCTCTCTCTCTTTTTTTTTTTTTTTTTGGTTTTTTTGATTTTTTGAGACAGGGTCTTACTGTGTAGTTGAGACTGACCTGGAACTCACTATGTAGCCCAGGCTGCTCTCAAACTCACAGCTTCCTCCAGCCTCAGCCTCCCGAGGGCTGGGATTACAGGCGTGTGCCACCATGCCGGCTTGGTTTCTCTCTTTGAGACAGGGACTCACTGCCTAGTCCAGGCTGAGCTTGAAGTGCCTGTATATACCAGGCTGGCTGTGAACTCACAGCGATCCTCTTGCTCCAGAATGTTGGGATTATGGGCGTGCACCACCACATTTGGCACAATTGAAGGAAATCTTTGTTATAATTACTTTTAGTTTTGGTAATCATATTATACATAATTTTGAATTACAAATGTTAAATTTTGTAAAAGACAGAAATGATTGCTTTGAATTTAGAGTCTGCCTTTGTCTCTTACATTTAGGATTACATGGAAATGCCATATGTTTTATTTTGCTGCTTGACAAAACAAGATTATTGATTATCAGGTTTTAAGTGTTTTTTTTTTTTGGAGTACTGGGGATTGAGCTCAGTTACTTTGCACTGAGCTACATCCCCATCCCTTTTTTTTTCAATTTTAAATTTTGAGACAGGGTCTTGCTAAAGTGCCAAGTTGCTCAGCCTAGGCTTGAGCTTTCAGTCCTCTTGCCTTAGCCTCACAGAGTGCTGGGATTCCAGGTGTATGCCACCATTCCAGACAACATCTAATTTTTGTAATGATTTCGCCTTAGAGACTTTTTGAAAAGCAGGAGAATTGACTGTTGTAAAAGCACCTAGTAAGTACATTAAAAAACAAAATACTTCTTTTTCTTAGGTTCTTTAATACTGTTTGATATCCTGTCTAATCAAAAAGATTTGAATTTTTTGAAGTCTCCTGGGCCTCTTGCTGTTGCTAATGGAGTTGTGAAGCAGCCTCAGTTTCAGGAGAAGCAGGTATGTCTGCACACATCCCCTTTAACGTTTAGATACATAGATGGAGGAGCTCAGTTGCACTGTGCCTGCCTCATAAGCACAGGATCCTGAGATCGATCCCTGGTACCAAAAAAAAAAAAAAAAAAA